CCCAAAACAAAAATCTCAGCATTTCTGGCTACTACAAGAATAAGCGAGCTGTTTGCCAGGAAGACGTCAAGGCTAGCCATCGAGTTCTTTCAGGACAGACTTCCCTTTAAGACTGGAACTCAAAGGGAACAAACAAACAAGCATGTAAGCGTGCTGGTGACCACATTGGTCTACGGGTGAGTGGAAGAGGCCAAAAGGCATCAATGAAGAAATGGGCTGAGTTCAACCACAGTCCATTGACTCCTGTTGACCTGGAGATGAGAGAGAGAAGAGGAAGGGCAGGCTGGTCCAAAGTATGGTGAGACTGGAGAACACTTGAGCCCATGGACAAGGATATAGCCACAGAGTGGCTGATAGTGAAGCATCCAGCTGACATAAAGTGAGGCAAGGATACCCAGACTTGCAGACAGTACCCTTTTGACCTAGCCTCGATGGCTTGATAATCAGAACTCGACTAGAGGAAGATTACAAACAAACAAACAAAAATTTTTTGTGTGATAATGGAAACAAGGGTAAATTACTACAATTTGATGAATCTGACCTATACTCAGTAGAGGTAATTACTCTAAATACCATAAATACCAACAGAGAGGGAAGGAGTCTTCACATCAAGTATCAATGCTATGCCCTCTGTACACAGGGTAGTTAGGGATGGGCAACTTAGACATTGGCTACCTAAAATGAGGGGGGGCGATAAAGTCACGAAGTGACTGGCTTACAAGATTTCAAGAGGGAGTTTAGTTTAAGAGTATGGGGTGAAAGAAAGAGTCCCTGCTGAATAGATTTCATCTTGTCTAAATGGGTCTGGTGAAAAGAGATGGGGATAAGATTCCTATGATTCAGTAGTAATTGTTATCATGACTAATTGCGATGGTCACAACTGTAAAGGTAGAAGTTTTGTAATAAAAAAAGGGGAGTAGTTAATCTCACAGTCCAAAACAAAGGACCCTAGGACCATCAAGAGAGAAGAGCACAAGCAGAATGCGGTACCTTGTATCTAGAGAAGCAGTGACACCAGAGATGGAGGCAGAGATGGGGGCCTGGAGACAGGGAGCAGCTGACGACTCTAGATTCATGAGAAGAGAGGGACTGAGAGGTGGTGGCCTGGAGGCAGACTTGCAGAATGTGCCATTTAGAGATGTAAATTATTATATATGCCTGAGTGTTTTTTTGTTTTGTTTTAAAAGCTGAAGTGGATAGAGAGAAATACCGTTAATTGATGGTACATGGAGGGGATTATATTCATTGTAATGAAACAAGGTGTATGATTTGTTGAATGTAAAACTGATGATCTGCCCAGTAAACTTTCACTACATCCACAATAATAACTTTTAAAAGAAAAAGAATATGCAAAACTTAAGATCATGGAGTTATGAGATTATTTTTGATGAATACTATTTTCTGATCTACAGATCATACAAAACTTAAGATCATGGAGTTATGAGGTTGTCTTTGATGAGTACTCTTTTCTGATCAAGGGATCATGCAAAGACATTTTAAAAACCCATTATTGTGGGGTCGATTTTGACTCATAGAACATATTTTTCTTTTGTCGATACTTACACACATTCATGCACACATACACATGCACATATATACATGTAACCACATATGGTCAAATTAGCTTTCTGTAAACATAAAGCATTGTGTAGTTTCCGCTATAGGGCTCCCATTTTGCCCTACTTGTTTGATATTCTCACCCCGACTCTTGAAATAATCGTTCTTGTCTACTAACTGACTCTATTTCGTTTCAGGCTCTATGCAAGGAAATACCACAGTTGTATTTCTCTGACTGGAGCTTCTTAGATTAACCAGCCCATCTTTTATCTCTTTAATGTCTTCAGTCCTTCTTTCAGCCTATAATCTTGCTGAATGTCTTTTCTTTCCCGTTCCTCAATCATGCAGCCCAGTTCATTTGTTTCTTCAAACCCCTAGCCTCTAATTCACCTGGCTGAAGATAAACAGGAAAGCTTGAGAACTCTTTTCCTCTGTTGCTTGCTTTTTTCTGTACTCATTTTTTTCCCTTTTAAACTCTTTCTGGTTACTAAGAACTCTCCGTATCTGACTCTACTCTGAAAGGTAGAATTGAAATAGAAAATAGAAAACACTTTGTCTATTTCAGAGAGTTAAGTGCTTGGTTTGCATAGTGTGCAAAACCTTTTTATTAAAGGTTCATTTTAAGGATTTAAAATCTTTTTTTGCTAATTTACTCCTTTTCTAGGTTTTCCATTATTATGGGCCTGCTTTAGAATTTGTGCAGATGATAAAATTATCAGAGCTCCCCTCCTGTTACATGTCGGACGTTGAATTTGAATTGTATCCTTTCATTTGCAAGTTCATTTTAGATGACATGTTTCAATGTGTCAGGTAGGAAGTTTTTGGTATTGTCTGGTAAGTATACTGGTAGATACACTTTCTATTTATTTGTATTTGATTGCTTTCATTGCTTGGCTGTTGACGTGCAAGTGGGCTGCCAGCATCGTTATTGTTGGAATTGATGGAAAAGAAAGTTTTCACTTTGACCACATCTTGGGTCATTTACCTGAACTATCACAGCTCTTTCTCCCCAGATAAGCGTTTTTGTTTTCCTTCAATATTTACTGAGATCTGCTCTGGATAGGAAATGTAAAAGTAATATAGAAGTGATTGAGAGTGCATTCCTTAATGAAGTTGTAATTTTTCCTGCCTGAGCCCAAGTCACATTTATTCTCTCACTTACTCTAGCATGCACTAAAACTCTTTCCTTTCCACCTTCTTCCCAAAGGTCCCCCCACACACGTTTTGTGTTTGGTTTGTTTTCTGTTTCCTTTGCTATTATTTTACTGTCGTTTCCTGAAATCCAGGAATGCATCAACATGCTGCCTCCTCATTTTTCTTGATGTTTCCGATAAAGAAATTTGTAACTGAAATACATCAGAGCACATAGTAGGCTCTCAGTAAGTATTATGTATTAGGTCAGCCCAAAGTGTTTATTCTTGCAAACCTTTCTGCAGAAGGAATGGCATTTACAAAGTCTTAACAGAACCCCAGCTGGATGAGAACTGTTTGGAGTCTACCATCACTAAAGAGTAGTGGGCCTTAGGGTTTGGTTTTACATTTGTTGTTGTTCTTGATAAGTGCAATTGAGTCATCAGTTCTGACTCACAGCGACCCTCTATAGGGTTTTCAAGGAATGACTGGTGGGTTTGAACCTCCAACCTTGGGAATAGCAGTCCTGTGCTTATCATAAAATGCCATACCAGGGTAGGTTTATAAGAGATGATATTGGAAAGTCTCTTAAGAATCAAATTAATCAGATCTTAAAAGACCACGTTTATCATATTTAGGATTTTGGAAAAGTTGGTTGAGTTTGAATAAAAGAGTAGCCTTTGGAATGGTTAATAAGCATAAGATACAAGGTGTGTTAAGAATATAAATCTGGAGGACATCCTGAACAACCCTGAGGCCAGAAGAATTCCATGTTGCCTAAATAGCACTATCAACTGCTTCACATTAGTAAGTCCTAGAAAAAGTGGGAGAAAATAGGAAACAAAGCTCAAAATCATTTAAAAATCAAAACGCCAGGCTTATTGGTCAGGTTGAGACTGATTATGGCCCTTGGTCCCCCTTCAGGTTTGAGACTGAATTCTGCCCTATGGCTCAGTTTTCAGCCAAGCAATAGATACCTGGGGGAAGGGACGATACCTCTATTGAGGCAGGCACATCGGACAGTGGTCAACCATTTGAGATCAGGAGGACAGCATTTACTCAAGGACGGGATTCAGAAGGAGGAACCGGAAAGGAGACACAGGGAGTAAGTGGGCTACGTGGTTTATATTCAGGGATTTCAGTGAGATGGAACCAAGTATGCGATTTGTGGAATGTAAAACTGATGATCTGCTCTGTAAACCTTCACTCAACTCATTGTAAGAAGTTAAAAAACAAACAAACAGGGACATCAAGATTTTTTTTATGTGGGGAAAGTAAAGAAGCCAGAAGAAGGTAGGAGGAGCTCTTGTGTTTGATGGGAATCAGTGCCATTTAGTGCGAGAAGAGAAGGTTTCATGGGAAGAAGCGTTCAGGTTTGGAGAGGTTGAGATTGAGTAATAATGTATAGTGGGTAATTTTAATGTTGATTCCTTATAAGGCCATGAATATTAGACACTTACACAGTGTCTGTTTGGGGCCATATAACTAACTAGTCGACTGCCTGACAGTATAGCTGTAGGAGTTGCTTTCAGACATGAGTAATTGCAAATCATTCTCCCTCACTTCATCTGTTAGCTACATATAGGTCAGAAGCTAAATAACTCTTGGCATGTTTATGTCATCGTAAATCCTTGCTTTAGACAAGTCAGTGTCAAGCTGCCTTTCTGGGAATGCCTGGGCTCACAGAAAGATCCTTGGGGCAGTGGGATTGGAAGATGAGATGAGGGCTCCAGGGCCCCTCCCGGACTCCTGGTGTGGCGCTGTGGGCTAATGTGTCAGACTGCAAAGTCGTTTGAACTGCAAGGTCCGTGGTTCAAGCTGGTTCAAGAGCACCAGCTGCTCCTTGGAAACCCTATACCGGGTCGCTATGTGTCAGAATCGACTCGATGACAACAACAGGCCCCCTCCCTTGCTTCAACCCGAGTAGCAGCTCTTGTATCATTTTGGGCTTTCAGCTGAGCTGTCACTTGCTATAGAAAGTATCTGTACCCAAACTGAAAACCATTTTTTACACATTTTTTCTGTTTTCCTGTATGTAGGTGCTAGCCCATGCTATTTAAAAAAAAATTTTTTTTTTTAATAGTACTCCAGTATTCTTTTTAATGCCTGACTTTAAGAGCAATTCTACCACTTGCAAAACAGTCCTTCCGTAAGTACTGTATGGTACTCAGTGCTTATGGAGGAATGTTAGGGACCCAGAAAAGCAGTCATTTCTCTACTGCTGAAGTGTTCAACTATGATGGTTATATAGGCTCCAACTTGCTGATGTATTTTTTTTCTACTTGAGTGAGTTTCAATGTTATAATGTGTCTGAATATGTAATATATTTTAAGTCCTTTTTCAGGAAAATATATCTAAGTGTTTTGAAGTCCTTCTTTTCTTTTAGATAGACACCTTAAGAACAGACTGTTTTGCATACAAATCATAGTTGGAAATGAAACACTATGTAGTTCTTGAATTTTCATTTAGAAACTACAGATTTACCTCAGAACTATCGAGAGGTCAGATCTAGAGCCCTGCAGTAGAGTGAAGGCTGCAATAAAGGGAGGCATAGAAAGTTTTTGGTTTCCCAGTGCATATAAAGGTACGTTTACACTATACAGCTTACCAGGCAGTCGGCAGTGCAAACCCACTCTGCAAGAGGAAAATGAGGCTGTCTGTTCCCATAAAGATTTACCGTCTCAGAGGGAAACCCTACAGAGGGCCGCTACGAGTCAGAAGTAACTAGGCGGCAGTGGATTTGCTGTTTGGAATAGTCGGTTAAAGGAGACTCAGTGGCACTGTGGGTCAGGAGTTCAGCTGCTAACGGCAAGATCAGCTGTTCAAACCCACTAGTTGCTCCGAGGAAGAATGATGAAGCTGTCTGTCCAGTTAAAATGTACAGTCTCAGGAGCCCTGCACAGGGTCTCTATGAGTCTGAGCCCACTAGATGGTAGTGGATTTGGTTTAGTTTATAGTCTATTTTAAAGTGTGTGAGAGTACTGTGAAAAGTTTGAGATGTCAGAATGGCCAAAATGTGCTACAGAGACAGAAAGTGGGCACAAACTGTTGGAAGGTGGCACTGATAGCCTTGCTCGACACAGGGCTGTCCCAGACTGCTCATGGTCATGCTTAGGAAATGCAGTGTCTGGTAAGCGCAGTACAGCACGGCGCCGTGAGGGAGGTTTTTACAAGTTTCCTGTGCTGACCTTCTGTACTCGGGCTATTCACAAGACTGCCTTTTCTTACTGTATATACAATCAAGTCTATAACTAGAAACATCATTTTCCTTAAGGAAAAGCAGTAACGGTGAATTTCTATAGCTAAAATTTTGATAAATGTTTTAACTTGTGGATTTAATAATGAAAAGGAGTAAGAATGCATTTTAGGAAGAATTTTTTGATAGTTGCCATTCCATTATTTCTTTAACTCCATAGCACAGAGGACTGACAAAACACAATACCAAACAGAATTCCACGTTGCTGTTGGAACAGATTTCTTCTCTGTGTGGCAAGGTACAGAAGGTTGTTTTGTTTTGTAAATAGAAAGGAAAAGGAAATGTAGCTTGTTAATCTGATTTTATATGGTAAATTGATTTTTTTTAATACAATAGAACACAAAATTTTGGTCCTTGATCATATTAAGATATTTTGACCTTTCCATAGTAATTCTAATGTGTTTTACAGATGTCACGACTGAAGTTTCTTTCGAGAATATACTTTCAAAAGTAAATCTATGACTGCTTTAAGTTTAAAAATTTTATAACACCACAGATTAGTGTTAACATGCTGTTGAACATCTGATTTCAGTTCTGTGAGAAGACAATCATTTGCTTGTGTTAGGAATTTCATGGGCTCATCTAAAGTCAAGCTCACACCTCTACTGATTGTAAACCATTTAGTGTCCCCTTGTTCTGTTGAAACTATTGCCTCTTGGTCTATGTACGGGTTCCTCCCGAGCACAATTAAGTGTTCCGGAAAACTCATTCTCCACAATGTTGTCTATGACTTGGTAGTGGTCTGAGTGATTTAAAATCAGGAAAGGTGTATGCCAGGTATCCTTCTACCATACTTAATCTGTACGCTGAGCAAATAATCAGAGAAGCTGGATTATATGAAGAATAACTTGATATCAGGATTGAAGGAAAACTCATTAACAACCTGCAGCATGCTGAAAGCAACAAGGACTTAAAATACTTAATGATGAAGATCAAAGACCACACAGCCTTCAGTATGAGTCTCACCTCAGTGTAAAGGAAACAGAAATCCTCACTACTGGACCAATGAAAACATACCAGGATAAGCAGAGAAAAGATTGAAGTTGTCAAAGACTTCATTTTGTTTGGATCCATAATCAACATTCATGGAAACAACAGATAAGAAATCAAATAGAGGATTGCACTGGGCACATCGGCAAAGACCTCTGTAAAGTGTTCAAGCACAGAGATGTCAGTTTCAGACTAAGGTGTGACTGACTGATGCCCTGGTATTCTCAGTTGCCTCATATGAATGTGAAAGTTGGACAGTGAATAAGGAAGATCATACAAGATTTAACGCATTTGCTTTATGGAGTTGGAGATGAATAGTACCATGGACTATTCATTACAAGTACCATAGACTGCTAAAAGAATAAACACATCTGTCTTAGAAGAAGTGCAGCCAGAATGTTCCTTAAGTCTAGAATGGTGAGACTGTGTTTCTCATACTTTGGACGTGTTATCAGGAGTGATCATGGAGAAGGAACATTGTGCTTGGTAAAGTGAAGGCTCAGCAAAAAAGAGGAAGAGCACCAATGATAAGGACGGACACAATGGCAGTAACTGTGAGGACGGCACTGCACCGGGCAGTGTGTTCTGTTGTGCAGAGGGTCACTATGAGCTGGAATCAACTTTATGGCATCTAGCAGCAACCACAGTTGTTGGGTTCCACTTCATTTTGATGACTTCCGGTTTTCCTAGATTCATACTACATTCCACGTTCTGATTAGTAACTGTTTTTTCCCATTTTGAGTGGTGTTGCATCAGCAAGTAATAGTCCTGAAAGCTTTATTCCATTTATGTCATTGAGATCAACTCTCCTTTGAGGAGAGAGCTCTTCCCCAGTCATATTTTGAGTGCCTTCCAACCCCAGGGGCTCATCTTCCGGCACTGATAATAATTCTGCCGCTGTCCATGACATTTTCAGTGACTAGACATTCAGGCGTGGTCTGCCTCTCCTTCTTCCTTGTCTCTTTTAGTCTGCAAGTTCTTCTGAGACCTGTCCACCATGGGTGACCTTGCTGATGTTTTAAATACTGGTGGCATCGCTTGCAGCATCAGAGCCACCCACAAGCCACCACAGACAAATTGTATTAACCTAATGGTGGGCATTGAGATTGCAGCCTTGGACTCTGTGGGTCATTATGAATCAGAATTGACATGATGGCACATACCACCACCACCAACTCTTCAGAGGTTTCTTCCTTCTAGAAAATGAGACTACTCTATGTCTTAGTCATCTCATCTGTATTGTTAAATAGGGATGGTACATGTTACAGGAAAAAGTGTGACTAGAAGAACAAGTCCTCTAGAAAACTTGGGTTTAAGTCCCCGACTCTATGTCTTCCTGGCTCTCAGTCTTTTAAGTTTAAACTGGATATTAAAACCCCTCCTCTACCTTTTTCAAAGATTTGTAACGAAAACCAAATTGGAATGTGTTTTTTTTTTAAGTGTGATATCCGTTCTAGTTGTTAAATAAGTTTTTAATCGTGATGAATATGGATGTTTGACAATATTTGCCATTTTAACCTTCACATGAACAATTTGTTGACATTTATTGTGTACATTATGTTGTGCAAGCAGTACCAATATCCAATTCCATATTTTTTCATCACCTTTAACACAAAGAAGATCAGTCAATAACTTATTTTTAATATTGTCTTGGAAGGATATGTGGCTCAACTGACAGATGTACATATTTCATAAATCTGTAGAATTTTCTTCTAGTCAAAATTAAGCACATAATTAGAATAGCTTAACAAAGGTGTAAGCGAAATCCTTACTCTTCCCAGGAGATGGCTGACAGTAATCCTAGAAGCATGTTGAATTTGATGAATTCCTCATATTTTCGTTTGTTTTGTTTTAATCGTTTTGTATTATTAGATTGCCATTTCTATTTTTTCTTGACCCATGATTGTAAAGTATTAAGACAGACTTAATCAGTAAGTAGTAAGTAAGTGGAATGCGATTAACCGCAGAATATCAATAAACGCCTCTATGCATAAAGATCTAGTCTTTTTTATTAGATCAGGAAAAGACAAAGTAGGATTGTTAAAGAGTCACGATGTCTGCTAATCTTATGGCCAGGACAAAGTTAGGTGAACATTTTCTGTCTTTGCTGCTATTACAGAGGACTTGCGGTTGTTGTTATGTACTCTCGAGTCGGTACTGTCTCATAGCAACCTTATGCATAACAGAACAAAACCCTGCCTAGTCCTGGGCCAATCTCACAATCATTGTTACGTTTGAGCCCATTGCTGCTGCCACTGTGCCATTCCATGTCACTGAGGATCTTGCTCTTTTTCACTGACCCTCCACCTTTGCCAAGCAACATTCCTTCTCTAGGGACTGGTCCCTCTTAAAGTATGAGAAAAGAAGTCTGGCTATCCTGGCTTCCAGGGAGCATTCTGGCTGTACTTCTTCCAACACAGATTGATTTGTTCTTCTGGCAGTCCATGATACTTTTAATATTCTCCTCCAACACCATAATTCAGATGCATCAATTTTACTATGGTCTTCCTTATTCATTGTCCAACTTTCAAATACATATGAGGCTGTTGAAAATACCATGATTTGGGTCAGATGCACCTCGTTCCTCAAACTAACATCTTTGTTCTTGAACACCGTAAAGAGGTCTTGTTCAGCAGATTTGCCTAATGCAATATGTTGTTTGATTTCTTGACTGCTGCTTCAATAATTGTTGATTGTTGATGTGAGCAAAATGAAGTCTTTGACAACATCCATTTATCTTGATGTTATGTATTGGTCCAGTTTGGAAGATTTTTGTTTTTACATTGAGGTACAACCCATACTGAAGACTGTGGTCTTTGATCTTCATCAGTAAGTATTCGGGTCCTCTTTGCTTTCAGCAAACAATGTTGTATCATCTGCATATTGCAGGTTGTTAATGAGTCTTCCTCCAATCCAGATGCCATGTTCTTCATATAATCCAGCTTCTTGGATTATTTGCTCAGCATAGAGATGGAGTAAGTATTGTGAAAGAACAGAATCCTGGCACACATCTTTCTTGATTTTAAACCAATTTCTGTCATTCCCTGCGATTAGGGATGGCCTACTAAAAGGTTGAAAGGAAACTCAGGTCTGAAATGTTCTGTGGCCTTTAAATTCTTGAGATAGAAGTGGCAGCATGAAAGGCGCATCCTGTAAACTCTCAGAGACTATCTCCTGATCTGTGTATGTTGTGGTTGTTGTTAAGTCCCATCCAGTCGGTTCTGACTCACAGGGACCCTGGAGAGGGTTTCTGAGCAGAAGCTGCCAGGTTTGAACCACAAATTGTGTGGTTTGCAGTCCAGTGCTGATCCAGGAGTCCTGATCAGTATGTAAATGAGAACAAATAATCAGAATCCAAGTCAGCAACTAACAACTGACTTACACATTTGTTTGTAGAGAGTTATTGCTGTGGTACTTCTAGCATGTTTATATTTAGATTTGTAGCAATTGCCAAATTAAAAATAGGTTGTCGCCAAACTGTTGCTATTTCTTCAGCTGGTGGATCACAACAGTGCATTTCTATAATACTACAGGGTATGCAAAGAACTGTGGTGGCACAGTGGGTTAAGCATTGATCTACTAAGTGCAAGGTTGGTGGTTCAAACCTACCAGCTACTGTGCAGGGGAACAATGAGGCTGTCTGCTTCCCAAAATGTAGTCTACGACCCAATAAGGAGCCGTTCTGCTCTGTCCTGTAGAGTCACTCAGAGCTGGATACAGCTCAATGTCAGTGGTTTTGATTTGGGTTAAAAGCTACGCCCTGAACTGCGTGTAGCATCCCCAACATGTATAGAAAGTTACAATAGGCTCTGAGCTGGCAGACTCGTGTTACAGACTTGTCGTGAATTTTGAGCTATGAATTTCATTTATACAAGAAAGAATGGGATTTTAGTGGTTAGAAAATTTAATATAAATCTTTCATACTGGCTAGTGATTTTCCTTTGCTATGTATTTGACTTAAAATATATGATGGCTCTAACAGTAAAGAAAACAGTAAGCATGTTTAGCGTTCCTTCCTTATTTTGCTCTTCCAATTAGGAATTTATCTTTATATCTGTTCATTAAGAATAAATGAGTAAAAATAAGAAATAGCAAGGAAACCAGCACATTACAGTATAAATTTACTGACTATCAGACCTCTCATGTGAACTAATCCAATTGGGTAATACAATTAAAAGTGACTTTGCAGTAGACTTAAAAACTTTTTGGCAAATGCCCTACCTAAACTTCTCCAAAGTTTTAAAACAATTTGTGATCAAGATATGTTAATAGATGTAGCTGCCTTCTCTAAATTAATAGGCAAAGTACAGCTTTCAGAATTGCAATTTGGTTTTATTCAATGCTTAATCAAACAGAATTTACTTGAATATAATATGATTTTTTGAACAAATATTTAATAAGCATATGTATGCCCAAGCCTAAGACTACAGAGATGAATGCTGCATTTGCTCACACATCAGTCAGAGGTTGCTATATGTATGTATTCTAGCACATAATCCATTGTCCTCTCTGCAGTCTGAACAAGTAGTATTAAATCTCTGATATCTAGGAGCTAAAGTTCCAAAGTTTCCTTCACATTTATTCTTAACTTAAAGTCAGAACAGTAATTCTTCTAGTTAAAAAATTGTTGAATGATTGCTGGTTATGGCAAGACTTTCTGATGAAAGAATTCCCAGTGTTTCTAGGTTGCAGATCAACAACAAAACTATACCCAGAGCCTGATCTTGAAGCAAGTATTGTGAATAACGAGGTTTTCAGAGCTGTATCCCTCAGTGGAGAAGAGAAGGCCAGCGCTTAGCATGCCTTTCTCTATGGATTTTGTTTGTCTTGTTTTTTCCTTTTTTGCTTTGGGCTGGGTGGAGGTATTATTTTTGTTTTAAAGTCTTTACAGTGGAGAGGTTGGAGGAGCACATTCCCACATTTATGTTAAGTCGGTGAACTATGTATGAATGGAAAATTACCATGTGGCCCCATTCAAGTGTGAACGTCTTTGTCCACTCACTGGAAACGTGTTCTCTTTACACAGGTTGGTGCTCTTTTTGTATTGCCTTGTACTGTTAGTAGCATACTTGTTCCACCTCCCAACCAACTCAGTTCAAGAAAATGGAAGGACTCTATAGCTAAAAAGCCCAAGGTAACTAATGGTAAGTAGTAGATCTTTAAATTATCGGAATGGTGTAACTTAAATAAGGAATGTATCAAATTTTAACATGAAGATACCATTTCCTGAAGGAAGAGAGATTATCAGTATAAATTATTGTACTGCATTAAGGACATGAAGAATAGCTTTCCATTTAAAAAAGTAATTTTTTTTATTTAAGGTTTTTATTGTGGATTCAGTAAAAGTTTACAGGGCACATCGTCAGTTTTACATTCAACAAATCATGCACCTTGTTTCATTACAATGATTATAATCCCCTCCATGTACTATCAGTTACCAGTGTTTCTCTATTCACTGTAGCTTTTTTTAAAAAAAAAAACAACAACACTCAGGCATATATAATAATTTATACTACCAAAGGGCACATTCTGCAAGTCTGCCTCC